ACATGTCAAGGTCAGAAGACGTGTTCTTCCAAGGAATGAAGGTAAAGAAAGACAGAGATCTCGTTCACATGCACCTCAGAGCAACATGTGTAAAAGATCTAAATTTGTGCTGGAAACGCTTCATACGATTACAGCATCTGTGGACTGATATTGTCCATAACCTTTATTTCTCTCCTGAAAAGAAATGTTTATAAAATCAGAGAAGCTATCAAGTTCCAAAAAAAAACATGAAGTTGTCAATTTAACACAGGGTGATGTCATGTGAACAGAATACCTGTGGGTGTTGGCCATCTTTTCACTGAATCATTTGGCACGGAGCTTTATTTCTTAATTCTCACAGCCATGAAACACTTCAGAAAGAATATCAAGCCACGAGCGATATTTTCTGCAAGCAGAAACTAGTTCAAAGACATTTGTCAAACACCCGCCACACCACCCCCACCACCCCGACCCCACCCCCACGCCCCAAATCCTCAACTTACTGTCCTGGCATCCAGTCAATTTCCAATTTGCAATGACTTTTACATGATTTTTTTTTTTTTTACTTGACTTTGTAGCAGCACTGAAGCCCCCGGGGGCTAGTGGGTCATATAATTACTATGTGCAGAGAACGATAAGCATGTTTTAAAGTGACAATTATCTTTAACTGTGGTGTATGTTTGCAATGCGAGTATGAAATCACAAAAATCTCACTTAGGAGACTTTTGCATTTTTAAAACAATAAACAAATCATACTCTGACTTTGTATGATTCTCAGTGACTCATTTCATTTCAGTTGTACCTGATGGTTGAGGTAATGAACCTCACAACTTTTACAATACGAATGGCTTAACTTCAGGTGCACATTATATACATATAACTTATCTATTCGGTATGTTCATAAGTCATAAGTATTGTTTACATATCATATGTTAGGTCAAGACATATGAAAAAAATATGTAAAATATGTCAAGTATTACATGATTACATAACTAACATTTGATTATGTCTACACAATGACAGCATTAAAGTAATGAAACCAGATTAAGTAATGAAAAGTGCGGCTCATTAAGGGTTTCTCAGACAAATGTCCCTCTCTGTTGGGAAATAAGAAAGTTCTACACAAAAAGCCTTCATCAGAAAAGCCTTTAATTCTTCGCAATATTGACATCACTTCGAATAGAAAAAATGTACAACACAAAAGATGTATCTAGTTTTAACTGTGAAAGTTGCTGCAATCTGCAAAGCACTCAACTCCATTCTAAGTTAGCGGGGGTAGAAAATGTGAGCAATGGATTGAGCTTGGATTTTTTCTTTAGTTTGAACTTGTTCCAACAATTTCCACCACAGCGCTCATCAGGTCATTTGAATCAGCCACAGTATTGTGGTTGATAGTGGTAGTGATGGCTTAGCTCATGTTTTGAGATGTTTAAGAGAAATGGGGGTGACAGTTTTCCGTCTCAATTTCTTTAGTGTAAGGTTAATTGTATCAAAGCTGGATTTTTAAGTATCACAAAAGTATACAGATAAGATTAATCTTTTAATCCAATGTATTCCAAAGTAAGTGCTTCAGTCACGACGACATTTTAGAGTAATCTGATCCAAAACTGCAAAGGAGTGATCTGGGGAAAGAATGTGTTATCGGCCTGACTAAGACTTTCGCAGCTCACCTGCTTGTGTGTAAAGCTTAGTAATTTCCTCAATAGAAACGTTGCACAAACACAGAGCTAATATCCCAGTGGTGTGTAGTGTGTGTGTGTATGATGTGTGTCGTGTATGGTGTGTTTGAGGAGGGATCACTTGTGGGGAAAAGGGCTGATAGCAAACATTCACCCTTAAATGTAATTTTTGATCACACAGCACAGATAAGAAATCCAGTTGCCATTGTTACCAGAGAAAATATTATGATAAACGGTCTTTAGAAAAGTTTTTTTCTTCATTATTCGTGGCACTAACAATCTAATGTCTTCTGATGGTAATGGTGCATGCATCTGGCCGCCTCACTGACAAACGCACGGTTACTTATTATGGAAAACAGTGCTATGATGAATGTGTTGGAGTAAGTCACAGTTAATCTAAAGTGGATTACATGTTGTTTTGGATATACCTTCCTGATGCGCCCGGCGCTGATGTACTATCGGGAGCAGAATTGCTTTAGTTTCAAAAATTCAGTGCAGAAAAGCGAGCAGGGGAGAGGCTTTAAAATACTGTCTGTGAGAAATGCAAAATTTATGAATGCCCCCGAACATCTCAGCTTGATTTATGTGAAATAATAATACACTATTTAATGCTTAAACATAGCTCAGAGCGATCCCTGGCTATCAAGATGTACAATAGAGTAATGGGGCTGGAAGACAAATCACCTTGTGGACTTGTGATGCTTATTTAAAGGTGCTCAGGCAGATATATTAAACTATATGTAATTGTACACTAACTCTGTGCTGTAGGCAGAGGCTGCAAACACAGGAGGAGGCTGGTCATAATGCAGATGGAGTGGTGTAATCAATTTGACTCAAGTATCAGCATCCAAGGCAGAGAGGTGGAGGAGAACTATATTGTCATCTTATTTAGGATTGGGCCTTTATTCCTACGTCCTACTTATTCTTAGGAAAGTGTTAACTTACATAAATAAGTTTAAAAAATCTATAAGGCCACTGAAGAAAAGCTGCCAAATATGCCTGAAGTAACAATAAATAGTTAATGAAGTGGAAATAATATGATACAAACTGGTCGTTGGTTCTCAGCAGCTGCAGTCGACCTCGTGCGTGTGTTTATCGTACGTTTCAGCAGCAGGTGTGTCAGCTTTGAGGACCAGGTTCAAACAGAACTAGTGGTCACGCCAAATAGTGATTTATAATTCTCTGATTGCCTCGTTTAATTAAAGTAAATGGCAGAGCTGAAGCTAAGCCAAACTATCCCGATCTGATGGATCGGGCCCCGTTTTTTCCCACCAAAGCAGATAGGGTAAATAAACAAGGTAATTACAATGGTAAATGAAGCATCTGTGAGAGAGCAATGTGGGTTGTGTGCGGCTCACCCAGGATGTACCGACGAAGTGAACAACAGGCGTTCCCTCAACTTTCTCCTATCATCTTCACTCTGCCTCTAACAGGCGGCCGTGCCAAGAAAAACACAGTCCTGTATAGACACCTACTAGGTGCACGCACTCTGAGTCACATATTCAGTGACACACCAACCGCAAATTCTCCTCCCACCACCATCCCGGTGCATTCATGTACAATTATAGCTACGGTGATCCACAGGTGTTGAATTCTTCTGGCAAGCCATAAAACATCATATGCATGATTTGTGCAGTCAGCCAGGCCTGTAATTTCATTCTCCCTTTTCTTTCATTTTCCCTTCCTGGGCCACACAATTCATTTCCCTGCTTTATGAGAGTGCAGACACCCAGAGAGACTTTTAGGAGGATTACATGCCCCGCGTGCCATGGGGGGTCTGAGGAGCCAACACGCCAACCTAAAGAGCCTTGTCGAACCTGGGTGAAAAGCTACTTGAATGAGATT